TCGAATGGTTTCTATGTCGTAAATGGGTCTCAGATGAGACTAAAAATCTGAAGTATACTTTAACCTTCCAATATTCATGTCTTAGTGCCACTAAGGTGCTTCAAATTATTTGGAATTCCATATTTGTCAAGTGTTAATTGGATGGAAAAATTGCTTGAAATTGAAACTGTCTAACAGGGTAATGTCACGTAGCAAAGTGTAAACTAAAGTGTACTCCAAAGTGTACATGTCGCAAGGTTCTTACCGATTGAACTTTGCTATTTGTAAAAGGATTTTTGACCGATTGTTTGACACTTGTATTGTTGTCAAGTGTCAGTTGGATGGGAAAACTATTTGAAATTTAAACTTTTCAACAGAGTAATGTCACGTGGCAAAGTGTAAACAAAAGTGTACACCATAGTGTACATATAGCAAGGTTCTTACCGATTGGACTTTGCTATTTATACACTTATTTTAGACACGTTGTTTGACACTTCATTGTTGTCAAGTGTCAATTGGATGGAAAAATTGCTTGACATTTAAACTGTGCAGCAGGGTAGTGTCAGGTGGCAAAATGTAAACTTAAGTGTACTCCATAGTGTACATGTCGCAAGGTTAAACTGATTGAACTTTGCTATTTGTACACTTATTTTTGACACGTTCTTTGACATTTGCATTGTTGTCAAGTGTCAATTGGATTGAAAAACTATTTCAAATTTAAACTATCCAACAGAGTAATGTTACGTGGCAAAGTGTAAACTAAAGTGTACACCATAGTGTACATGTAGCAAGGTTCTTACCGATTGAACTTTGCTACACTTATTTTAGACACGTTGTTTGACACTTCGTCGTTGTCAAGTGCCAATTGGATGGAAAAACAATTTGAAATTTAAACTGTCCAACATGGTAATGTCACGTGTTAAAGTGTAAAATAAATTGTACACCATAGTGTATATGTCGCAAGGTCCTTACCGATTGAACTTGGCTACTTGTACACTGATTTTTGACAAGTTATTTGACACTTGCATTGTTGTGAAGTTTCAGTTGGATGGGAAAATTGCTTGACATTTAAACTGTGCAGCAGGGTAGTGTCACATGGTAAAATGTAAACTTAAGTATATTCCATAGTGTACATGTCGCAAGGTTAAACCGATTGAACTTTCCTATATGTACACTTATTTTTGACACGTTGTTTGACACTTGCATTGTTGTCAAGTGTCAATTGGATGGGAAAACTATTTGAAATTTAAACAATCCAACAGAGTAATGTCACGTGGCAAAGTGTAAACTAAAGTGTACACCATAGTGTACAAGTAGCAAGGTCCTTACCGATTGACATGTTGTTTGACACTTGCATTGTTGTCTAGTGTCAATTGGATGTGAAAACTATTTGAAATTTAAACTGTCCAACAGAGTAATGTCACGTGGCAAAGTGTAAACTAAAGCGTACACCATAGTGTACATGTAGCAAGGTTCTTACCAATTGAACATTGCTATTTGTACATCTGTTTTTGACATGTTATTTGACACTTGCATTGCTGTCAAGTGTCAATTGGATGGGAAAACTATTTGAAATTTAAACAGTCCAACAGAGTAATGTCACGTGGTAAAGTGTAAACTAAAGTCTACACCATAGTGTACATGTAGCAAGGTTCTTACCAATTGAACTTTGTCATTTGTACACTTATTTAGACACATTGTTTGGCACTTGCATTGTTGTCAAGTGTCAATTGGATGGGAAAACAAATTTGAAATTTAAATTGTCCAACAGAGTAATGTCACGTGGCTAAGTGTAAAATAAAGTGTACACCATAGTGTACATTTTGCAAGGTCCTTACCGATTGAACTTGGCTACTTGTACACTGATTTTTCACACGTTGTTTGACACTTGCATTGTTGTCAAGTGTCAATTAGAAGGGAAAACTGTTTGACATTTAACCAGCAGGGTAATGTCACGTGGCAAAGTATAAACGAAAGTGTAGCCCATAGTGTACATGTAGCAAGGTCCTTACCGATTGACCTTTGATATTTGTGTAAAATCCCAAATTTTTACTTAGCATTAATTTATTTAATAGGAATGCAATGTTTAGTTAAGTCCTTATACAAGTTAATTGGTTATCTCTATAGTTAATTTGGATCTATGTGAATATCTTTATAGTTGAGGGACCAAAGTGAAAATAAGTTTCAGATTTTATACCTTTATTAAATAGGCCGAATAGTTAATTATTGAAGGAGTTAGAATTACCCTATCAATATTGGGCTCATTTTGAAACTCGTAATAAATGATGAATTATGGACTCAAGAAAAATTCAATTTGGATTCGTTAAACTTGAGTTATAGCCAATTAAGAAAACTACTTAGTTAATAATATTAGTTATTAATTCGTGCTAAATTACTATATCAATATTGGACTCCTTTGATAGATAATAATTAAATATATATATAAGGATTAAGAAAATGATATTTTGAATAAGTTGAATTAAGATGGAATCAACGGAAGAATCAAGGTATAAATGAAATTCTAATTTATTTACTATCCATACAATTTGCAATTCTCGGCCATTAGGAATAAAATATGTTAAGTATTAATAATTATGAAACTTAAAGATAATTGATTAAAACGTAATCATA